TTTTTCAAAGGAGTATGCACCAACAAAACAGCAACTACTACTACGACTAGAACAACAACGACAACAACTACAACAGCTACAACAACAACTACAACAGCTACAACAACAACTACAACAGCTACAACAACAACTACAACTACAACAACAACAACAACAGCAACAGCAGCTACAACAACAGCTACAACAACAACTACATCACCAAATCCATGTAAGTGAAACAACATTCTACTCGATAGTCTTATCATAACTACAATATTGTTATTTTTCCTTCAACATACAAAATAATAACGAAGAAAAAACACTCTTTATATATTATAATACCATTAACATGGGAACTATTTAGAAGTTTGAAAAAAAAATACAAATTATAATACGAATTTTACATAGTAAAGTCAACAAAGAAAAGTATAAAAGATCATCACTAATCATACAATTCAATATAGATTTTTTTAAAGTCTATAAAATTAGTATTACTAGTGAATGTATGCATACATTAACTAGCATTGATGTCTTACACTATATATAGATGATGATGATGATGATGCAATTACATATTACTATCTTTTTTTATTGTATCATTGTTAGGTAGTACGGGCGCGTTAAGTTGGAATACATCAGCTACAACTATAGTTAATTCATCACAAATATCAGCACCTAGTGGCATATATTTTAATTCAAATAATACATTGTTTATAGTAGATGAATATCCTAATGCTGTTGTATGGCAACTATTAAGTAATGCCGTAAATGTTACTAATGTAGCTGGAGTATATATGTCAAGTGGTCCTAGTTCTGATCGATTCAATTATCCTCAAGATGTTTATGTTGATGCAAGTGGAAATATATATATATCTGATTTTTATAATTATCGAATACAAAAATTTACTAGTGGATCATCAACTGGTACAACAATTGCTGGTATAACTGGACAAGCTGGATCTGCGTTCTCACAATTTAATGGTCTTCGATATTTTACTTTTGATTCAACTGATACATATATATATGTTACTGATTACTATAATCATCGTGTTATGCGTTATTCAACAAGTTCAACATCAGGTACTAATGGAGTTCTTATGGCCGGTAATAATGGAGCTGGTAATTCAAATACAACATTATATTGCCCATGGGGTATTCATTATTTGCTATCTGTAAACAATGATTTATTTATAACAAATTATTATGGGCATTCAGTGATACGTTGGACGCCTGGTGCATCATCAGGCTATTTTGTAGCTGGAGTACCAGGTGTATCAGGTCAAACTTCTATGTTACTTAGCTATCCAATGGGTATTAAAATTGATACTTATCTAAATATATACGTTGTTGATAATAACAATCATCGAATACAAATGTTTTGTGCTAATAGTCAATCTGGAATTACTATCGCAGGCACAGGTATAGCTGGTAATACTGCTACACAATTGATGTCACCAAGAGGTATTGCATTTGATTCAGCAATGAATCTTTATGTTGCTGATACAGGCAATGCTCGCATTCAAAAATTTCTAAAGCTTTAAGCTTTTAGACATAGTTTATGACGGATATGACTGATTTATTTTTTTCTTGTGTGAAATTTTACTCTATAAGCGCCTTTTACCATTATCATAATTTTCTTAGATGCACTTTAGCGTCATAATATTTTTATTCAAGTCATTTTGTTTATTTTTTCTTAATATTACAAGCATGAAAATGAAGCATTACTCTTTCAAAAATAATTCCAGTTTTGATGTGAAATAATATGCATAAGAACATAATGTATGTCGTCTCATTTATGTTCTTTTATTTCGAAATATCAATGCATAATTGGTTGTGGGTTGATGTGGGTGGGGAGGGTGTGGGGTGGGCTGTGCGTGTGAGCGTGGGTTGGATGTGGGCGGGTGTGGGCGCGGGTTGGGTGTGGGTGGGTGTTAGTGTAGTTGTGTGGGTGTGTGGGTGTGAGTCTGTGCGTGTGTGAGTGTGGGTGTGGATAAGTGTGGATGAAGAGAATACCCACACCCACAGCCACAGCCACAGCCACAGCCACACCTATACCCACATCCACACCCACAGCCACACCTATACCCACATCCACACCCACAGCCACAGCCACACCTATATCCACATACACACCCACACCCTCAAGACTCAAACCATACGCTTATTGAAACAGTGAAAACATGAAGTCTTTTAATTGTAGTTCTTTTTTTAATTTTAGTTCAACCTAGAAAGATAGTTTAATGCAATAAATGTAGTATGTTTTAATTCATATACCATTTTAGTAGTTGCAGACGTGTTTATTTAATACTGAAGAGAATACTTTATGTAGGAATCTCGGTTTCTAGAAGCTTCCAATTTTTGTTATGTTATTTTCCTTCACTTACATGTTTTCAGCTATACAATTAATACTCGATGTGAAGCAGAAAAGACATCCGTTGCCGCGTTCATAATACTTTATGTTTGCAAACATGTAATATCCAGCTTATAGCATGAGCAGTCATCCTATTCCGCAAAGTTACACATTCCTGCATTCCACAAGGCCATCAAACTCATCAATATTCAATTCCGGAATTGCTGACATCCAACTCCTACATATGCGATCGAATTTTCCGGAATTCCTGCCAATTCCTGCATAGGATCATGTATTCACTTTCAACTGAACAGTGCTATAAAAATGAAGATGCAATTCCGTTTTGGAATTCCCGAATTCCATGGATATGGAATGACCAGAAATTCCTGCATATTCCTGCATAGTTACATGTATTCATGTTCTACATAACATTGCAAAACAAATGAAGATACAATTCCGTATTAGAATTCCGGAATTGCATCGATATAGAATGACCAGGAATTCCTGCACATTTCTGTACATTCCTGCATAGGTACATGTATTCATGTACTACTTAACATTGCGATAGAAATAAAGATGCAATTCCGTTTTGGAAATCCGGAATTGCATCCCTATCGGATGATCCGGAATTCCTTCATATCCGAATGATTACGGATGTGCACAAATTCCGGAATTCCGCTTTGCATTTCTTCAAGCTCAAGAAATGATCATTTAGCCATCCATCACATATTTGTAATTCCGGAGTAGGCAGGAATGACCCGGAATTCCTGCATATCCTAGCATCTGTGCATGTGTACGAATTCCGGAATTCCGCTTTGCATTTCTTCAAGCTCAAGAAATGATCATCTAGCCATCTATCACATATTTGTAATTCCGGAATAGGCAGGAATGACCTGGAATTCCTGCATATCCTAGCATCTGTGCATGTGCACGAATTCCGGAATTCCGCTTTGCATTTCTTCAAGCTGGAGAAATGATCATTCAGCGATCTATGACATATTTGTAATTCCGGAATAGGCAGGAATGACCCGGAATTCCTGCATGTCGTAGTGATGCCGCATATGCAGAAATTCCGGAATTCCGGGTGGATATCGAATAGATCTTTTAAGATGATCATCTCGTTATTCAGTTTATCCTTGGAATTCCGGAATCACCCGGAATGACCAGGAATTGGATGTTGTTATTTGGGATATGAAGGGAACTAGAAATCAGGAATTCCTGGCTGTTGCATGTTTTTGAGGGAAAGGGTCGTTTTTGCTTTTCCGGAATTGATGGTAAGGGATTGCTTGTCAGAAGGCGATGCAGGAATGTGTAACTTTTGGGAATAGGAAGTATTCTCCAAAATTAGTTGTCAAATTCTGTATGATATTCTTTCAAGCAGTACAAAAAACAATAATCATGATGATGTTGCCCACTTTCACAAATTGAAATTCCAAAAGGATTCAGCAGTAGTTTTGAATGCAATAGTAATAGGATACTGGACATTTGATGTACTATTTCGGTGATCATAATCTAAAACAAACTAAGAAAATAGTTTTTTTAAACGAACTCTTACTTGGGTTGAACTGCCGAAGTATTAAGTTTTGATGATTTTTTCCACACTCAACATGAACAACCTACATGATAGCGCTACCATTTCGCATGTTTGGAAGGCTTGTTTGTTTTGTATATATGTCGGTCTAAGAAAATGATAACATCTTGATTTTGTTTTTGAAAGATGCTTCATCGAAAGTTCTACGCCATCGCTTTCTACAAATTTCCAATGAAAAACAAAAACGTTTTCCAAACATTTTTATTATGCTAAATGCTCTGGAAAGTAGTACTCATGTGGATTGCTCATATTGAGTATAAGAAAAACCATCAGAACCAGTTAATAGGGATTTCTTTATACAGTTATTGTAGAACTTCTCACGCCGCATTTTTTCAAGAAACAATCAAGATTTGAGCATTTTAAGGCCGAGGCATATATGAAAAAAAATGTCGCATAACTTTTGACCGACATGGTGTTTATGATCAGTAAGTATATTTTCATTGATTATTTTGCACTCACAATACGATCAATAAAAGTTAAAGAAAAGATTTCATCAACGATAAAATCTACATGTAGATGAGGATCTTTCGACTATCTGTAAAAAACTAACAAAAGAGATTTTGACTAATGCCTTCATTTGTTGGTCTGTTTATGAACACTCTCTTTATTATAAATGATTGACGTGCTATTTAAATAAAAGTAATTTCTTTTAATATCTTTGATGGTTTACAGGAAAATAAATTTTGGGAGTTCTCGTCTGAGTAACTTTAATTGTTTATTTTCATTTAAATCTTTAAAAAAAAACAAAATCTTATTTAATACAGTAGAACGACTATAACATAATGTTTTTTTTATGATTGTGCAAAGTTTCTACTGTGATAGAGGGAAAGCTGTTTGAAACAATTAATGATCTCTATACTAATATTGCTAAAAATAGTAGACAATTTTTCATCTAAACTACTCTTATACATTCGTATCATCTCTAACAGTCAAATTGAGACTTGTATGTATTATTTGGCATTCTTCATAGTTCAGAATCAGCTGATTTTTATAAATCTACATAATGAATCTGTTCATTATTCATCATTGTATTATATGCTCATCAAATTCCTTAACATTTCCTTTGAAATCTCCTTCTCAATAATTAATTCTCTGCTCAATACTCTTCAAAAAATCATGAATCTAAGCAATTTTTTAAATTCTGTTCTTTTTATTTTCATATGATGATTTCATTCAGTGTTGTTGTATTCATTATTTTTATTTAAATGATTTATACAAGACTAAGAAAAATTACAGAGAGAGGGAAAGTATGAATCAAAATTTTGTGAACGAACAGTTAGATCAGACACGTATAGAGATTTTATTTTAGCACAATTGAGACGTGTTTCATCATTGGTAAAATTATTTGTCATAGTTGCTAATGTGTTGTATCTAATTTTGAGATTCGTTAAACGAGGTAAACATGTACTTCTGTGAGAAAGAAATAGTGTAGCATAGTCATTGTGTGCACTGGTAAGATTAAGTTTGAAAAGATAATTAAATGTAATCAATGTAGACGAATGATGTTGATCATTTTTTAGTTCATTTAAATTTAATATGATTAAGTTTTCAAGAAAAGGAAAATCTTCAGAAATAATTTTGAATAATATATATTCAAATGGATATCTATCACGCATCACTAACATTCGAACTCTATTGAATTGACCACCTTGAAAACAATTAGTGAGAAATAAGAAATCACTAAATGGATATCGAAGAGAATAAACATGACAATCACCTCCATTATTTCTAAATATTTTAGTGACACGTGTACCAACTAATTGAAAGCCTTGTTTAATAAAACTATTTCGAATATCATCATTCGATGGTAGATCACTATGAATGCAAGTGTTAATAATATGAGTGTGTATATTGAACATAAATTTGTTTAGTCGCGGTAGATACTTAAGAACTTGTTCATATAATTGATTACCATCGATATAAGATATTTCACCTCTCATTACTGAGAGTTGTAATGATAATTCTTCAAGATTTAACATTCGACGAAACAATGGAACAATTAATGTATCATAGAAGTACGAATACTGTTCTCCTACTAATGAGAAACATTTCAATTTGTAAAGTTTTTCCTGAAGAAAATAAGATTTCAAAGATCAATTTGTTCATATTCAATGATCATATTTTTTTCCTTACCTTATTATTAATATTCGATGATAAACGAGTAATTTTCTTTATATGAATTATCAACGTTGATAAAGATTGAAAACATCCATTAAGAAAATAAAGACAATCATCAAAACGATTTACTTTTATAGTTAAGTTAAAGATAAAGAAAATCCCTGTAAAATATCACATGATGCAAATGATAGATAGTTGCTTGAAAACTTTTCAGAAAAAGTCAAATTAGTTAAATATCTACAGAAGAATAATATTGCTAAAAATACAGTTGTTTCCAGCTCATCAGATAATTCTCCCTTGTCATGATAAATATCAACGGTAAGATCTGTAATTTGATTATTTAGAAAAGATATCACACCATCTAAAATATAAATAAAAACATTAATGGTTCATTAAATCAAATTGAATTTATTATCATACCTTGTAAATGTCGTAGAAGTACATAAGATTGATAATTGATCAATGAAAATGAATGTAGATGGGGATATTTTACAGCACTTAGAATACGTTGCGTCGAAAATGAATCAAGAGTAAGTTTGGTTATTTTATCATTAATGCGAGGTAAAATTTTCGAACAAACTTTATCAAGAATGTAAGAATTATGAACATGAGATTTTTCAATTGCAAAATCAAAATGATGAATAACGAGAGGATCGAGTGTTAGTAGATCAAATCGATGATTTACACCCACCAATGAATAGAATATATCGATCGTGTTCAGTTTATTGAAAATAATAGATAATATTTCATCTGGTAGATCGAGTATATTAATATCATTGCTATTTAAAAAGTTCATGTCTAATGATTATTTTTCACTCAGTTACTCTCATTTCTTTTCAGTCTATATATTATATAAACAATATGTTATTTTTCCTGTTGCTGTCGGTCAGAATATTATTCATATAGCCATTGAATATGATGACAAATGTCTGATATCATTTTTCTTTCTGCCTAAAATTTTTCTCATTCTTAACAAATAAAAAATTGCGCGGTCAATTTTTGATAATGTTAGTGCAGTTTGTCTTATGTAAAATAGATCATATCTAATACTCTCATATTTTGATTCACTTAAAATAAAAGGTTAAATATCTCAAATATGTTCTGAACGTTTTGTTTTAATGAAACAAGAGTATTGATAAATATATATGTAGCTTTAATGTTATAAATAAAATTCATCTAAACATTTGATATAAGCGTTATTATTCTGTTTGTTTACGTATTTTCTGTAATTTCTGAGTTGTTCTTCAAACTATTCGAAATGAACACATTAACTTTGTGGAACTAACATAGATTTTCAAAGAAAATAGTGAGTGTAAGTTCAAGTTTTTGCGGCTCCCTCCCCCCCTCTACTACACACACATAGTAACGGGAAAGAGAACATTACAGACATCCCCCCCATTACACATCTCAGCGACCGGGCCTAAAAAACTTCAATTTTAATTAACAATAAAAAGAGAGTTGAACAGTATGAAGAATATGAGTTTGACTGTCATACAATATTTCAATGTTTTCANTAACTAGCATTGATGTCTTACACTATATATAGATGATGATGATGCAATTACATATTACTATCTTTTTTTATTGTATCATTGACAGGTAGTACGGGCGCGTTACATTGGAATACATCAGGTACAACTATAGTTAATTCATCACAAATATCAGGACCTGGTGGCATATATATTAATTCAAATAATACATTGTTTATAATAGATGAATATTCTAATGTTGTTGTATGGCAACTATTACGTAATGCTGTAAGTGTTACTAATGTAGCTGGAGTATATAAATCACGTGGTTCTAGTTCTGATCGATTCAATTCTCCTCAAGATGTTTATGTTGATGCAAGTGGAAATATATATGTATCTGATTTTTATAATTATCGAATACAAAAATTTACTAGTGGATCATCAAATGGTACAACAATTGCTGGTATAACTGGACAAGTTGGATCTGCATTCTCACAATTTAATGGTCTTCGATATTTTACTTTTGATTCAACTGATACATATATATATGTCACTGATTCCTATAATCATCGTGTTATGCGTTATTCAACAAGTTCAACATCAGGTACTAATGGAGTTCCTATGGCCGGTAATAATGGACCTGGTAATTCAAATACAACATTATTTTGCCCGTGGGGTATTCATTATTTGCCATCTGTAAGCAATGATTTATTTATAACAAATTATTACGGACATTCAGTGATACGTTGGACGCCTGGTGCATCATCAGGCTATTTTGTAGCTGGGGTACCAGGTGTATCAGGTCAAACTTCTATGTTACTTAGCTATCCAATAGGTATTAAAATTGATACTTATCTAAATATATATGTTGTTGATAATAGCAATCATCGAATACAAATGTTTTGTGCTAATAGTCAATCTGGAATTACTATCGCAGGCACAGGTATAGCTGGTAATACTGCTACACAATTGATATCACCAAGAGCGATTGCATTTGATTCAGCAATGAATCTTTATGTTGCTGATACAGGCAATGCTCGCATTCAAAAATTTCTTAAGCTTTAAGCTTTTAGACTTAGTTTATGAAGGATATAACTGAGTTGTTTTTTTCTTGTGTGAAATTTTACTCTATAAGCACCTTTTACCATTATCATAATTTTCTTAGATGCACTTTAGTGTCACAATATTTTTATTGAATTCATTTTGTTTATTTTTTCTTAATATTATAAGCATGAAAATGAAGCATTATTCTTTCAAAAATAATTCGAGCTTTGATGTGAAATAATATGCATAAGAACACAATGTATGTCGTCTCATTTATGTTCTTTTATTTCGAAATATCAATGCATAATTGGGTGTGGGTGTGGGTTAAAAGAACAGATGCACAGACACCCACATCCACTGTTCAAGATCTTTTACCAACATTTACTGATATTTTAAGAGTCGGTCCTATACAAATAAAAAAAGATGATATTAAACTATTGCTGGATAATGACGGTGATATTAACGATTGGATTATCGATGCTCATTTATTTATTACTGCAACTAGGCATGTACCGAGCTTTTTTCCGTTACTTTCAAACACTTTTAGTTCAAAACCTTCAGCTCTTAAGTGAAAAGCTAAATCATGGGGCCTAACTTATCAAAAGATAGACCAAACATCGCTCTACAAAATGAGACATACCCAAGCCCTGTGCAACAACGCCTTCAGTTTTTATAGGAATTTTACAAACAGACCCCGACCGAGCCTGACCGAGCCCGAGCCCCGAGCCTAGGCTCGG